GTTCTCAGTATTCAATCGTATTCTAAACGAAAGTGCTGACGCATCCAATTTCAGTCAACAAGAACGTTCGTAACAAAAATATTGTATATTACTTGCAATCAAGAAGAGTTTAGAAAAAGGTTTAGTTTCTTAATGTAGAAGTCTGTTTCTCCTTTTTTCCTTGAAAATTTATTGACGTTTTATATCTCGAAAAGGTAGCATCATAGCTTTGGGTCAGTGATTTCAGCTTGTTGTTCAGGTTTCACCAATTTCTAAAAATGGTTTTTAAACGGAAGCTACTGCTATCAAATGTCTGTTTTTACCTTTTAAAAAAATCAATGTTAACAACACCGGAATAATTTTGCGGCTGAGGTAACTTCAAGCCGTTTAAAGATACAGTGTAGTAGGTTACACCCAAGCTGAACTAGCGCAGCAAATTCGTCATTTTGTTGGGGGAACCCCAGTGGTATGTTGCCTGAAAATATCTTGAGGCAAAAAAACGCTCACAAAACACATCAATAAAGTAAATAATGGTATGATCGTCCTACTGAGTGTAGTCCTGAGAAGGACTGTTGTCCAAATGATGAGTGACGTTCCGACAACCTTCGCCGGCAGAAGTCATCATCAGAGTCAAAATTCTCCAATTCCGGGAATTGCTCCGTATCTCGGCTTACTTTTGCATTATTTTTTTCTTTTTACTATTTATTATTACAAATAAAGAAATCCATTGCAGAAGCAACCTTGAGAACTATAAAAACTTTTCGACAGATAATTAAAAACCTGTGTTTTTTATGCAACATTTATTCATAATAAGCTCCAACAAATGATGCCTCAGTACGATAATTTCCTTCTTCAGCCGCGGCAAACCACATGCTTGCATTACCAGAAGGTAAAACGAAACTGAAAATAGAATGCCATAACTCTGTATTGGTGTATTGTTTTATAATACCATCTGAAGTAAGGATGTTAAGCACTGTGGCTGGTTGAATTTCAGTGTAGCAATCGTTGTTACTTTTTAGTTGAGTGTATGTTTTGCCTTCAAGCTTTCTTGTTATTTCAGTTAACCACATTGGGGACAATGCAGGAAATAAGTTGAATAATTTCCCTTGAAAGTTGGTAGGTTCGAAACGAAATACCTTGCATTTTTCAGCCTAGGCTATCGAGCCACGAACGAAGACTCAGAACTGGCGAGTGAGATCCATAGACCACAACTACCTTTTCGCCAATATGAACTACTCATCTGAGAACGTAAAACTCTATCTCATGAGAATTTTCAATTACGTTTAACAGTTTTCGAAATAAATGAAAGATATTGAAGTCGCTTTCAAATCATTTTATACTCATTCCTCTCCAATATTGAATGTTTTCCAGGTACAATTTATCGTAAAGAGACTAATGAAAAATTTGAATATCTCAGACGTTCGTATGCAATGTTAAACCATGAATAAAAATAAAACTCAAAATAGAGAGGTTTCTAAGATGATCCATGGACTAAATGTTATAAAAAAAAGGAAATATTCTTGGCTAACTGGTTCGGTAGCTGTTTGTTTCAATTTTAGGAAAACGCGGCATCGCGAGGTTTTGCAATGAAAACATTGGATACATTACAGAGTTGAAATTTTTCGCTTTCATCGCCGAACCCGATGTTTAAAAAAATTCTCCTCTTTAAGAGCATCTTTGGCTTACAGGTCACCCGTAAATATTCGATTTTCATCGAGTAAACAATTTAGGAAACGAAAATTTAGCATAAAGTTGGGTGTTGTTATACTGAAGGTGGTGAAATCTACTATATATATTGCATCAGTATTGCATCAGCCAAAACTCCTGTGATCAAAGTTTGTACTGATAAATTGTGAGCTCCTTCGATATCTTAAACCGAGTTGGAAAATGTAACATCAGTTCTTCCGGTGAAACTGTTGAAGAACATGCACATGAAATACAAAAGGCTGATTGTTCTTCAGCTCGTCCTGGTTGGAGTGAGAGAAGCCATCCCACTGCCAACGAGAAAAATGAAATGGCAAACGTTAAAAGGTGTAATATTTCGTTGAAAAAAGAAAATAGCAATGCTCTCGCGTTAACGTTGAGGAACTGATGTAGTTAATTGCAAAATATTTTCTGATATCAGGAGCATGGTTTTGTTTTGAGTATTAACGAGAATTCATCAAAAACTTTCCACCGAGCAAATATCATGGTCACGTACCTTCCTCACACCCGCCGAGTTCAAGGGTTTATGGAAACAGAAGATGCTCAAATAAATTACAAGAACGAAAAAGCCATGAAAATAAAAGCAGCAACACAGTCTTACTCTTTCCTCTTTTCGGTTCCTTAGACCCAAAATTCACTTAGTTGTAGTGTACTTGGAATAGAGGTTGCAAGGCATCAACTGAATAAACATACATTTTAATTATAATCACGTATGAACTTTACGCAGACTCTATCAATGATAGTTGCTGCCGTCGCTGGTCTACTGTCCTGATGTGATAGTTATCATACAATGTGGTCAACCTTATGGCATCGAAAAAACACTTATCTTTATTCTTAGTAGCATAGCATCGTTACTTGTTTATAACCCCCTAATCAATGTGGCGGCAAACTTTATTCTTTTTTTATTCCTTTTATTTGCTATTGCTGCATGTATACTGATTGCTTTCAAGGACATTATTTTCTGTTTCTGTAAACGCTTAAAAACCACTAATGTATTTTTTTGTCAAATTCTGCCTAGGGGAAACGAAGTACGTGCTCTGGGTGTAAATTAAAGAGAGCTAATGTTTCAAAGCACTATGGTTTAAAAAGACATGTAAACATTAGAATTTCCAAAAGAGCATTTTCAGCGAGTATGTTATGTAACGAAAAAAATTTAGCTGAGTGCTTGCGATTTATTTCAAAATGTTATCTATTTTATCTCTTTATTGTAGATTGCTCTTTATTTGGTGATAAAACCGATTAATTTCAGTCATTAGGATTCCTTAAAGACCAATGATAATTGAATTCAAAGCACACGTCCTGCTGGACCGAAAGGAAAGCTAATTAAAAACCTTCTCACGTACACTTTTCAAAACATGTCGGCATTGAAAATTGTATTTTACAATCAGTTTGTTGTCAATTTTTCTTTACCTTTCAAAGCTATCAGTGAAAGACTTAATTTTTGGTGGCCTGCGAATTTTATGCAATTTATTTGCAACTGTATTCCTTGTTTACTATGTTGGTCATATTAGCGCGATTCTAGATTGATTTTGTGTAACTGTGTTCGAGAAGGAAGACCGAGCATTTTTCAAATCTCATCTACCTTAGCACAGTTTTGTTCTTCCTCAGAAGTCTTTGTACAGCTTACTGAAGGCGTTTACGAAATAATATCCTGAAAAAAGAAACATGTACTTCCTATACTAAATAATTTGAAGAAACCGTATATTTTGTTACGTAACTAGACAGCTGAAAATTTGGAAATTCACGATTTACAATGAACTGGCACGGACAACCACTCACATTTCAGGACGCTGGAAGACGCATAAAGAAGTACGCTGTAGTGACCCTACTAGATGTTCGTCCTTACGATTCCACAATAATTTTGTGTCCTAGACTTTGTCTTTGGATTGCGTGAAGTTAACTCATTTGGAAAGTATTCCTAATTCCTGCTGTTTTTTTTTTTCTATACCCACCTGCTACCTGGGTTGTCTCCGATATTAGCCAGGGGGTGGGGAGCAGCTGCCTCCATCCCTTTCCTGTGCAGGGTGGTAAAACGCCACAGATAGTTCTTTATCATGGGGGATAATGATGGACAGTTTGGAGTAAATTTTGGGGAGAAATTTTAATGGCATGAAATAAAACCCTGGTAGTAAAATTATTCAACAATTAAGGACAAATCATGTTTAAAAGGGATTTGAGATGACAACTCTGTCAAACAAACATTAAAGGTTGAATATTTTCCTTTGACCTCCATTTAGCTTTTTTTCCAAGGCGAAAGCTTGTATATAAAAGATCTATATAAAACCAAGGTCAAGAGAATATAAAAAGTTTTCGGATCAATATCAGTATCTGGGCAACTGCCTACCTACCCCTCCCCTAACTCAACAACAGTCAATTGACAATAAGTCAAGGTTAATGTTGGGTTAGGGGAGGGGTAGGTGGGCAGTTGCCCAGATACTGATATTGATCTCAGTTTTCTATTCGACATTTTAGATGAAATTCCTTGGGCGTTGCGTTTCTTCGAAGAGCCAGCGGATACACAATTTGCGCACACTCGGTCAGCAATACTGAATTGTAAAGTGGAAGACAGACCGAAGGCTACGATTACATGGCAAATCGCACGCACAGGTTACCCAATAAACAAAAACATCACAGGAGTACGACACATCTTGCCGAACGGATCCTTGTACTTTCCCGCCTTCGCCGTAGACAAATTTACAGCATCAGTACACAACACTGACTATCAATGTAATGCAACAAACAGTGTTGGAACGTTAATCAGCCGCATAGCTAAGCTACGGGCAGGTAAGTGGATGAGAGGGAAAGGGGAACGGACGATTCTTGGACTGAGCAAAAATTTACAATAGGTCAGCCGCTATACTCCTTATGAAGCGCCATGCTGTCAAAGACTATAACTTAACGGGAGTCATGTTTTTACCAAAATCACGGGAGGGGGATGGGGATTGCTGTATCCTTATTGTTTTTCTCTGCAGAGAAAGAGTTTTCGTGGACCAGGGAAGATCTAACAATCGGTAACCACTCTGACTTGAGCTGTAGTACATGGCACTCGTAGCTAATTAAGGCAATAAACTATATTAAGTTTTGTTTGTACAAAAAGCAATCAAGTTGTGGCTCCAAGCATTAGATTCACGTATTTACATTTTTCCCTCGTAGTAATAACCCAACCATTCAAGGTGTATGCACAAGACAACTTCGTTATTCGCGGAAATACAGCCGTTATAAAAAGCGTGATCCCAGAGCACGTACGTGATTATGTGCGTGTTCTGTCATGGCATATTAAACGTGACGTGATCACGCTTGGAGGCAAATATTCTTTGATGCCATCTGGGGATTTGATCATTACCAACGTGGACGAAAGTGAAGCAAAGGACAAGACCTATTACTATACAGCACTGAATGTTCTGACAGGAGAGAAGTATTATAGCAACCCAGCTAAAATATTTTTAAAAGGTAATCATTGCATCGCTCAGACCGGGTTTTTCGTAATCGTCCCATTAAAACAGGAAGTTTTTAGCCTTTCATCTGTCAGAATGTTGGCCTTTATTAATCTTGGCACGTTTTGATAATTAAGGTTTTTTTAAGAACCCTTTACTCACTATGGATAGAATTGATAGAGAACTTTGCGAAGTGTCGCAAAGCCAAAACCAAGGTCATTTCAACATGCAAAAAACGAGCAGACTTCCGAAAGCGCAGAAAATTTGAATGGCCAAGTCGCTAGAGGTTTGAGTTTTGTACCTGACTGGTTGAAAAGGTGACGTGAATCTTGCTGGCTCATCACAAAACTAAGTAATTCAGAACCCAGATTACTTTCACCACTCAATTGAAAAATTAACTGATGTAGCTATATTCTGCTCTTTCCCTTTCTTAGACCAACAAGAAACTCCTCCCAGGGTACTGACCAAACCCTTCAACATTACGATACAGGAGGGAGACACAAGTAAGTTACAGTGCGTGGCGGAAGGATTCCCGATACCTGCAGTGGAGGACTACAGCTGGAGGAAGGATGGGGTCGTCATTCAGATGGGACACCGCTTTTCAAGATTTGCCGGTGGAAGCCTGAAGATTAAGCCCACGCAGTTTCAAGATCAAGGGTTGTATGAGTGCACTGTAAAAAACTCCAAAGGGAACAACACCTTGTATGTGTATCTTACTGTGCTTGGTGAGTATAGAGATAAATGAACTACAATTTTTTTAACGGCTTTATGATACAAAGATAAGCCATTTTGGAACGGTGAGGACTGTCACTTCAGCGCAAATGGTCTTCTGGTTTTTAATGTCGCTTTTTCCTTCGCAAAGGAAACCCATATAAGGTAATCAGAGTTTATTGAGAGACTTTCCTTTTTTTTTTGTCTTAGTTCCCCTCAAGTATCTTGTTCGCCCTCAAAGAAAGGTTGCGCCAGTGTTATCTTCAAATACGGGCACCAAAATGGAATGCGACGTCACTGGACAACCAAAACCTAACATCACGTGGCTTCAGAATGGCAAAATATTTCCCGGCGATGAGCGAATCACAGTTGAGCCGAAAAAACTCGTTTTCGCTGTGATGTACAGCAAGGATGTTGGTGTGTACCAGTGCATCGCGGACAATGGTCTGGAATTAGTACAGAGCAGCGCTGTGCTTATTACTGGGGGTTAGTGAGATGACCTAATATTAATTGCCTCTTTTTTAATAGTATCCTGTTTGACAGAGGTTTCCTGTAGACAGCTAGAGTGGAACTCAGTCCACACTTAACGAAAGAATGAACCAAAGAACGACAAAAAACGACAAACGAGGAAACGAGGAAATGAAAATGAGAACGAACGAACCTTCAGTTTGGATGTTACATAAAAGCTGTATGGTACTAAATTACTCAATTAATCTGACAGAAAAATGGAATATAAATATGACACTTAAAAACACACAAGGAAAGTACTACATGTCTCCCGTGCTCCCGTTTAAAGCAGATTTCCATGTAAGATTCAATATAATTACCTTTCTTGATTTTTGTTTCACCATTGCAGTATGTTATCGTATTATCCAACTTGCTTACATTTCACTTACTCTTCATCAGAACGCAATCCATCAATCAGAACAAGTGCCGACCGAGTTGTTCTAAATCGAGGAGAAAAGCTCCATATATGGTGCAAGGCCTTCAGTCAATCCAGGCCGGAAGTCACGTGGTACCTTGATAATGTGAAGTTACACGAAGAGGACGGATATTCTATGACGCAAGAACTGGAGGTTGGGGGAACTAACGGAGATGAAGGCACAAAGAGCACCCTAAGGGCAGACAGATTGGACGTGAGAAGGACTGGTGAATACAAATGTGAGGCTTGCAATATCGGCAACTGTACAGCAAATGTTATTGAGGTCTTTATTGACGGTAAGTACTGGAATCTAGCGTACAAAAATAACTGAATAGTCTAGTTTTGAATTGAGCAATCGCGTTGATGTATTTCGACAGGTTCTCACAAATGTGAAGAAAAATTTGAAGTCTTCCTGATAAACTTAAAACTGGACTGATTTTCATAGCGTTACTCACAGATTCCATCTTGTGTTCAAAGCCATTTGAGCACAATTCTTGTGGTTTGAACGACTTTGACTTTTTTCTAAGGTACAACAAACATCACTTCATTACCACCCGTTGTCAACGCAACCGTTGGTCACTCTCTTCAGCTGCCGTGTGTAGCGAAAGGTTACCCAGTCCCTATCGTCACGTGGTCCAAAGACGGCGTTCGCATTCCGTTTGACCATCTGCAGTCAGTGTCAAGTGACAATACATTTCACATCTCTAAGGTTCAAAAAGGAGACGCAGGTCGGTACAAGTGCACAGCGGTCAACAGGAATAATATCGGAGACGAGGGTTTTGTGGATGTTACTGTTTTTGGTGAGTGATGAATTTGCCGCAAGTTGTGGTTTGAAAAGGTTGTGGTTTTCACTTGAATTCTCAGTTGTATCAAATAAATCGAGCAAGGAAAGTGGGGAGTTAAAACCTCAAGTATGGGTTCTTATTTGATGGAGGGAAATGTACTGTTTTTTCGAAATTAATTGTGGCAAAACATCCGGTCTACGGAGAAAAGAAAGTAGCTTTTTTGTAATCTATTACCGGATTACTAGTTCGAATTCAAGAGTTGATAATTTTAACCTCTCTAATCATTTGACAAATAACCGACAGTTAAACAACCATGGCTAAACTCAACCCAATATTGTCTCCCAGTGGGAAGGGGAGCAGTTGTATGGTCGGGGAAGCATAATTCATCTCTGTTCAAGGTCTACATGTCACTTTTGCTATCTAGAGTCTAATTGCAAGGTTTGACTTTTCTTTCCTAGAACTTCCAAATCCAAAAGTAGCGTTCTCACACGAGTGGTTGGAAGGACAAAGTGGTACCCTATCATGTTCATCCATCACACATGACGGGTCATTAAATCTTCGCTGGCAGAAAGACGGAAAAGACGTTGTTGCCGTGGCCGACACTATTAGTATAAATTATTTAATCAATTTGGGCATGAGCTTTTTGCAATTAAAACGTCTAACTGCGGCGGACTCAGGCGAGTATAAGTGCGTGGCGAGTAACATAGCTGGGACAGCAAGTGTGTCTCAAGAAATGGTCGTATATGGTAAGTTTGTCTTCGCGCACGTTTAATATATTACTCTTAACAAACACGAACAAAAAGTGGTGGAGAAGTAGTAGAAAGGGCGAGTAAGCGGTCGTTTCCTTGGCCACTGTCTCTCACCCACAAATGGTTTGTCTCGTGCTCGTAAAAATTTATTCCTCTCCTCAGCCTTTCTCTGAGTAAAAATCTAAGTTGGCTGCCAAAACATTCACGAAAGAGTAACAAACTTTCGCTCGCCATGATTGAGACGCCTGTACTGCAGGCTATGTTTCATCAGGAATGCCAGGAAAGGAGTTTTTTGGTCTTATCCTCTGAAAGCAATGATTGAGAGCTGAAAAATGACTGATATTAACCAGTCAGTTAGTGTTCTGACCTCTGTCCTGGTTGGTGAAAAGTCGATGAATTGGCTGACAAGGAACTTAAATTTGGCGGATGACTTGATTTTGCTCATGTTCAATAAAGCGAATGGTTCAGATTTTCTTCATTTTTTGGCACTTCAAATATATTTACCATTTGTAAACCGTATTATTTCCCTTTTTGTTTCGTTTTTAATCGTTTTTTTTTTTTTTTCATATTTCTCCGTTTCCTTTAGTGCCACCATCCATCCCTCAGCAAAATCCAATCACTCAACAAATCCTCAAAACTTACACAACTTACTTGACATGCGTGACATCCGGGACACCTCCTCCACGCATTGATTGGTACAAGTTTGAGTCAGTTGGCGGCAAATTCGTCCCAGTCCAGATGGAAAACCCTCGTTTTCGGAAAATGTTGAATGGAACTTTGGTCATAAGGGACGTGAGGGGCGACGACGACGGAACGTATTCCTGTGCGGCGTACAATGCAGTCTTTGATGACAGGCCTAGCAGTCAAGTGCGACTAATAGTTCATGGTATAAAAAACCTTGATAGTGAAAATAGAAATTTCTGTCATTAATATCATTAAAATCTATATAATTTTTACCTTTTGTTGTAGAAGTCAAACGCTTTGTCTTCTCTGGAGCCAAATTGCCCAAAATCGACGGAGAATATCATGGTTTTCAAGGTTTCCACACCATACCACGTTCCTTTCCTTTTCCTAAGTTCACATTGCGGACCTATTTCTTAATTTTGTTTGTTTATCTTGTCTAGCAGTGCCAGCCACTGTTGTTACTGCGCCCGCAAATACAGCGGCCAAGGTCTCCGATGACGTCAAGATAACGTGTGTGGCAGTAGGGAACTTACCGATTCAGTTAGCTTGGTTTAATGGTAGCAGGAAAATGCGTAACAACTCCAGAGTTACAATAAAAAGTTCCGTGGAAAAAGAATATTACCGAGTTAACGGTTCGCTTCATATCCAGAAGCTGTTGCTTCAGGATACCAAACAGTATTCATGCAGAGTCACAAACGAGTTTGGAAGTGACACCAAGCCGTTTCAAATCACAGTTCAACGTAAGAAGTTATCCAAACTTTTTTCTGAAGTTAGATAAACTAATCGCTTAAAACGATGGTGTTTTTCCCCATTTTCGAGTTCCATGAACCCCAGCGACCGAAATGACGTTAAGTACTAAACGTTTATTGTGAAAAAGAGATTTTTTTTTCACGAGAATAACAAATTATATTCATCTGGAAGACTTGAATAGGGTAGAAAAGATGGAAAAATTTTAACTCCGGCGCAGGAAGTCTTTTTGTGCTGAACCCAGAATACACAGGAAGCCTTTCCCATATCAACTTAGAGATGGACTAACTCTCTGACGAGTTCGCTCCGACTTAGTTGATGTAGGAGCCAATCATGAAAACGGAGCTAGTTGGAATCAAATCCTATAGATAGAGTCACGGTTTTCTTTGTTTCACGTCTGTAAAATATGTTTCATTATATTTTTTATTTGGTTATTAATTTTTTTTTTGCTTTGAAAGGAATCATCTTTGTATCATTTTTTTTCTCGTATTCTCAGAGGAACCATCTCCTCCCTCAATGCCAGTCGTCAAGGAAACGGAAGCAACATCCATATACTTGACTTGGAGCCCAGGCTTCGATGGGAACGCACCGATCATTCAGTACATAGTGGAGTTTAAACTGCGCACGAGAGGCTGGGACGAGAGTAAAAGGAGAGTAGCAAGACAGTCTAATGGTCTCCAAGTTGACGGACTGCGGCCAGCTTCTGAGTACGAACTTCGGGTGTACGCTGAAAATAAACTGGGAAAAAGTGATGCGAGCCATTATACAACTCGCAAGACACTTGAAGCGGGTAAGTCCTGTTTTGTTCATTTCAATTTTTTTTCTTCGGCTATGTAATTTTTGTTGAAGATACACTTCTCTAATTGCATATTTACGCATAGCAAGCTTATCTCTGCAGCAAAGTAAAGGTCGGTGGTGAGTTCTGCTGAATCTTAGTAAGATTTATGTACCCTGTTGGTTTTCAGTAACTATTCTCCTGGAACCCTCGAGGACTTTCTTTTGAGTTTTACTGATAGACATCATACATCCACGTATCGTAAAGTGTAAGCGAAAAAAATAAATCTTACCTTAACTAATAAGCAACTCTTCCACAGCTCCATCACAGGCACCAAAGCTTAAGAACGTCACTGCTGTTTCATCCAAAGAGATTTACGTTGCGTGGGAGGTGAGCTACTACCTTGTAGGAGAGGGGAGCGGGGGTAAGGCCTCAAGGCATCTTATTTCGGTTTGGGAATTAAGCGGCAAAACTTTGTTTCATTAGAGCTCAACAGATGTGGAGGAGTTGTTTCTTCTTGCAAAAAATTCAATTTTATCGGGTGTCTAGTAAACGTTTTGCCCCCTTTGACTTTGCAGTATGCAGTGAGAAATTTCGATTCGTATAAAAATGACTATGTCTTTGGATAAACCATATTACTTCAGTATTCTGATCAATTCAGAATTTAAGGCATGGGTAGCTAGGTCCCCTCTTCGTTACAAATGACCTGCAGTTGTTGTCAAAGCGGTGTTATGGAATTTGTATTTTCCTTTTTCCTTCAAACAGCCTCCTCCTGTTTCCAGCAGAAATGGTGTGCTCCGAGGTTACTTTGTTCTGTACAGAGAGGACAATAAGTACTATCGAGGCAAAAACTTAACTGTGAGGGGTGGGGAAAGAAGGAATTACCTTATCAGAAATCTTAAACCTTATAAGATATACATCATAGAGATTCAGGCATTTACCCGAGCGGGAGTGAGTCCGAGAAGGAAAGAGACGAAAAAAGTTCAAACACATGAGGATGGTGAGCATTCTGACTGGTTGTATGATTAAATAATTATTTTTGTGTGATAATTGAATTGAGTATTTATTTGATGGTAGTATGCGAGGAACGTCATCAGACTCGCTTTTTGCGACAGGATTGAATCGGTGCTTAATTCAAGGATGAGCTAATTACTCTACAAAGTGTCTCTTTCCACTAAGAAGTATCAATAGGTATCCGTTATCTGCCGAAAATTCTGGAGAAAATTGAAAATTTAGCTTGTAGACTTCATCAAGAGAGTATGCAGATGGTAGACGATGTCTGTCTTTCCAGCCTCACACTTGTACATGGTGCTTAAAACACGTGCCCTAGCACTTCAGATCACGCACACTGTAAGATCGTTAGCACCCATATATTTAGTTTCGCACTGCTTGTCAAGTCAATAAAGATTAAATACGTGTTAAAATGTCATTCCTGGTGTCGGCATCGAATCCGCTGAGTTGGCAGGTATACACACATACCCCCTAAGAACTCGAGCTCTCCCAATTTAAAAATATATAACGTACGTAATGACGCGAGTAATTGTTTCTTTACTTCATTTTTACTAGTCCCCAGTCAGCCTCCTCAGTCAGTCATGATCAGAGTTCTTAGCTCGCAAAGCATGGAGGTTAAGTGGAATGAACCACCCAAGAACACTATAAACGGGCAGTTACGTGGTCACCGAGTGTACTACTACAGCACAAAGAACCCAAAGCAAGTGTTCGACAGAACTGTGACCAGACCCAATGGATTGAATGGACAGTGGAACGTCACTCTAACACGATTGCACAAGTTTACAACATACAAGATCCAAGTGGCGGCGTTTACTCGCATAGGGACTGGTATCAAGAGCCTTCCACGAACTGGAACGACGCTAGAAGATAGTAAGTTTGATGAAAGAATTATTTACTTTTTTTCATATTTGTTTGGCTGTTTGGAACCACGTCTAAGGAAATGCTCAGAGGACAGTTTTTACCACAGATGAACATCATATAAATAACAAGAGTTACAAAAGTTTAATCGCACGATGAAAAGTAGAACGTGGAGAGGAGCTAAAACTAATAATATAATTTTATAATAAATAATTAATAATATAATTTTACTAATACTTATATAGCGTCGATATCAATATTGATATTTTCATCAGCGCTTACAAATAAAAATATCTCAAAATTACCCAGACTACTTAAATCCTAAAAAAAAAACTGCATGAAACCCACTAAAAACAAGATTAAAAAGCATATAAAATCACAAAAAAGCTTTCTGAAGTAAAAATGTCTCGATTGTCTTTTTAAAAGATGTTACTGAAGGGCTACTCTTAATCGCATAGGGCAATGAATTCCATAGTTGAGGAGCAGCAGCAGCAAAAGATCGATTTCCTAACGTTGCTTAAGTCTTTAATTTCACAGGGTTTAGTAGCAGTCCATCACTATCGGATCGTAACTTGTATTTACATGCTTCTTCAAGACTAATAAGTTCTTGGAGATAAAAAGGCGCTAAGTCATTGATAGCCCTATACGTCAACAATAACATCCTAAAGTCTATTCGGAATTTAACCGGCAGCCAGTGCATATTATACAGCAACGGTCCTACATGGCAATATTTAGATTCCTGGAAAATTAACCTAGCCGCAGCATTTTGGAACCTATGTGGCTTATCAAGCTGGTAGGCTGGCAGGCCATAGAGCAGGCCGTTACAATAGTCTACACGACTTGAGACAAATGCGTGAATGAGCGTAACTAAGTGAATATGTACTATCACGGTCACCCAAAAGTATTTAAAATCTTGCTTCAAGCGTCAAAACGAACTAACCAATATTTCTGGAATATGGACATGCACGTAAACTGGCTTTATGATGAAAGAAATAAAATGGTGACAACTTGCTTAACTTGTAGAAACTTACCTGGGGGAGCAAAGCAGTGTTAACATGAAGTGAGCAAGCTGGAACACGAACTTAAACCATTGAACACAACTCTGTCTTGTTTAAATATGATGTTTTTTCGAACCTCGACAGTATAAAGCCATGATATTCAAAATTTCTTTCATAAGCTTTTTTTCTCATTTATCTCTGACGAATATCGCTCGACATCTAAAAAAATTATCATTGTTTTTCAGTCCCAGGACCTCCAAGTAATGTTCAGGCCATCCCAGTTTTCAAGCAAACAATCCGTGTACTCTGGGATCCCCCGTTGGAACCTAATGGCATCATAAGAGAGTATCGACTCTATTACAGAAAGAGTATCGCAGACTTTCTTCTTACTGACCCCACTGAACATGTGTTAAGTGGAAATATGACGTCAAAATATCTACCTCAGTTAGAGTCTGAAACCGAGTATAGTTTTTGGGTGAAAGCAAGCACTTCCATCGGAGTTGGAGGCAATTCAACGGTAGTCAGGCAAATGACACAAGAATCAAGTAAGTGCACATTTCCTCAGAGCCTTTGACACCCTTGTTCAGTGGAAAACATGGTCTGATCAAACAAAACTGTTTCCCTAACATTTGATTGATTGAAAAACCAAAAGTATGAAAAAAAGACTGTACTCAATAAACTTTCGTTTCCGATTGATCAGAATACAAAGACATTCTTTTGATGAGAAAAATTCCTTTTTTCAGTTCCAGCCAACATCTTTTACGACAATTTACCTGTGACCCTTGCGACTAGATCAACATCCGCCATCTTGGAATGCGAAGCTTATGGTTACCCTAAGCCCTCGGTGATGTGGTACAGCAGTGGTCGTGAGCTTACAGACACTACGAAATACCGTCTGCTGACAAACGGCTCTTTAGAGATCATAAGCGTCAGAGAAGCTGACGCTGGGGATTATGAGTGCACGGCAAGTAACAAACTGGGAATAAAAACAGTCATCAGGAAGCTCAAAGTGAAAAGTAAGCTTACGACACTTAATTTTGTTTCCAGGCTCTTTCTTTTCTCTTTTCCTTGGAGAGAGGAGAACCCCTTGGGACAAAAGTTCAAATAAGCGATGCTGGGTAAGCTCAGAAAGAATAGGGATTAAGCAAAAGCAAAAGTCGACAGTAACATTTTTTCTTAAATTGTGAAATGAACACAAGTTGGTAATGTCTTCAAAAAAGATTCCTCTCTCACATCTTTCAGTGGGTGATTCGTATTTGTAGTCTCTCGCCATGATTCCCTACTAATAACTTGCGTCTATGGGCCTTGTCCTCTTTCGATTTTTTACACAGTTTGACTTAGTTGCTCTGAGGAATGTTTGTCTCTTGTTTTTATCTTGGGTCTGTCATTTAATTTTTAAAGTATGACAATCATCCGTCAGTTTCTTTCTTTAGTATTATCTTAAGTACTTTCATGAGGTGACTCAGTAATTTTACGACTGATGTAAATAGCGGGAATGAGTTTCTTAACAGAATGCTTTTTATTCTTCTCGCTAGCAACACCATTACCACCGAAAGTGATAGAATTCAAAATTCTCATAAATAGTACCGCTCTGAACATCACCTGGCGCGGATGGAATGATGGGAACAGCCCCGTAACTATGTTCATCCTTGAATATAAAGTTAAGAGCGAAAAGTGGGAAGTTCAGTACATCAGTAACATTAACTACTACCTGTTGTACAATGTGGATTTCAACAAAGTTTACTACTTTAGGATCTCTGCACTAAACGCAGTAGGAAAAGGGACACCAAGTGCAGTGCGTAAGGTTGTATTTAGGGGTAAGTTATATAAAGTTGGGTTGGAAGATTGAAATGATTTGTAACGGAGCAATAACCTTGCACATGTTTACCTGGCAGCGCTCTGTGATTGGTTTGTTAATTAATCATACCATCCTCTTAACCAACCGATCGCAGCTTTGTAACTAGCGTTTTGCCACGTTTGAAGTCAGTTACATGTATTTCGTCATTGTATCATGTGTTCCTCACAATGTTAAGTTCTGATTAACTGGCGTGATTTCCTTGGTTTTGACTTTACAATTGTCAATCGTAAAGTGCTCCAAAAAGTCAGAGGAATTGATTCAATCAAGTCGAAACCTAAGACTTGCAAATGGACTTACGCTCGAAAATCCTAAGGGTAAGATCCCTGGGGTGAAAGAGTGACCTTAGCTCGGGTAATGTTAGCCAGTTTTAGCTGATTGTAATAGTTATTTGGATTTTCATTTCAATAGATGGAAACACCCTCATTGACACCCTGGAGGAAGCGGGAGACATCGAAGTACCGACCAATAAAAGAACCCAGTTTTATCGGCATCCAGCGTTCTTTGGAGTGTTGATCGGTGTCGGAGCTCTCATAGTCGTCGTTATAGTGTGTCTATTGCTGGTCGCCTTCAGAGGAGGACGCATTGATCTCGACAAATTTCACGGTAATTGCGCGTGCTCACTAACAGACCGATTCTCAAGAGCCCAAAGGCTTTTCCATGTTTACGTTTTCCCTGCCAATCATAGGTCGTGTAAAGTTTTGAATTACATATGAGCCACTGGCACCCTTTCCTCTGGATAAAGTAACGAGGGCTCTGGAAGGAGATTGTCTCGCACATCTGTAAGTCTAGATCTTCTTACATCAATCTTGTTCCTACACCCTCCTTACGAGGGCTCTGGGATCGATGTTACTCATACGTTAACTGTCTAAACTGAGTGAAAGATTGCCGTGACCTTTCAACACAAAGGGCTCAATTTAGGCCTGCGCAAAACCTTGAAGTGGATTATACTGTTGAAAAATAGTATCAGTTTCGTGATCTTGCATCTCTTTTCATTGGTTTCCTATCAATTCACTCACTAGCTTATATTTCATTTTAATCTCCTAGATTGGAGGAAATACTGGAAAGGGAAAATATTTCGTGAGCAACTTCCGGTCGACCAAGAGGATTACGATCAAAGGCAAGTAGAATCCTGTAAACCCAACTCTTGTTACTGTTCATTACATATTTCTTTGAAGGTGATAATTTTACCCACAGATTGTCACGAAAATAGCGAGTGCCACATGACAGAAAACAAGTGTTAGCTTCTGCGATTGATTTAGAATATTCTGCGTAATTCTTTTCCAGGGGAAGCAATCCTGACCAGTCAGAAGGTAGTCCTGCAAGTAATGGTAACATGGCAGATTCTTCTTCTTCCTTAGACCCAATGCGGTCCACACACGGCTCTGAGATCAGTCTCCCAACCAACACGCTCCGCAATCATTTTGCTCAGGAGACCATAATGGAGGAGGACTACCCACCCCCTCCTCCTCCCTATCACTCAGGAACACCAGGACAGGCCCCACCAAATGAAGGCAGCTTTAGTGACACTTCTTCAGAAGGAAACTTGAATAATCCAGTTTACCACCGACCCATTCTCCATGACACCGATTCAGCTGCTCGCGCGCGACGTTTTGCCGATGCAAGCGATCATGGCATGTATCCCACTTTCTTCATCACGCAGAGATCGCTGAACGGAACGCCAGGAATCGGGGTCTTAGGATTCCGCGGACATGCCGACGGAGGGTCTGAACTAGATACCACCAGCATATCACGGACAGTGGAATCTAATATTGACCTGCGACATTCAGCAGGGGCGAGTAGACTGAGCAAAAGCAAAAGCCGCGGACAAAGCCAGGAACTAGTTCATCCAGTCTACTCTCAAAGCCCGGCATCCGGGGCTCCAAGATCACGTGACTCGGGCCTAGGCCCATCACGGAATGAACTTCGCCGAACGAGCCTTAATTCTAAACGTAGTTCTAGCCAAGTGACACCTGTATTGCGGCCGATGCCAACGCCTCAGCGGCGGGAGTCTGGGTCATCAAAGGAGCTCAGCCCTTACCACAGGGGTTACGACAGAACCTTGGGATCTCGTGATCCTCGTGCTTACGATTCGGCTTCTTCAGAGTACAGCTCGTCACGTGACGAACTTATATCCGCACTAGAATTTGGAAAAAGACATAATCTTGACCAGTATTATGGAATACCAACTTTGGAAACTACGTCTGTATCTTCAACTACAACGAACAGTAGCGATCAGGACGGAATTTGCAAGTTTACAGCCAGTCCCAGACCTTTAGGGGACGGCTGTTATGCACCCACTCCAGTTCACGCTCCTCCGTTTCACTCAAGATCAAAATCGCGCGGAAATGAGAACTACATTTATGTCCTCGATCCACGACGGCGCGGCGCTGAACGAAGTACTGCTGCTCAGCCTAATGGTTCGATGGTTTGACGAAGGTTTGATGTCGGTAAGGAAGCCGTCGTCAGTTTTTGATTGTTTTTGGTTTCAAAATGGCGCCTATAAGTTGAATGAATTGTGGCGTCCAGATTAAAAGATACCCCAGATTTTGGATCAACAATTTCATACAAAGAAAAAAATTAACTTTCTCTTAAGCTTGGCTAATAAAAAATATGAAAATTGCCGACATTTAGTCACGTAGTGTAACATAGTAGGGCCTTCGAGTGGGGCTGACAGCGAAAAAATTAAGAATAAAAAATAGGTTATCAAGGAATGTTACTTTCAAAGAACGTATCGGAAATCACAACTGGAATCGAACTGAAAAGTTTTGGTCAGCGGTCTCCTGACTATTCTAAAATCGCTATTTTTCCCTCTCATTGAAATTCTCAGAACAGACTTAGATAGCAAAATCGAACCGAAGATGAATTTAATAGAAAACAGAAATTAAAACATGGATTTCAAATTAAGGAAAATATTCAAAACAACAACAAAAGAATCAATGTACAGAAATCTAATATAATTCACGTGATGAACATTCACAGTAGTATTGTAAATATGTAAGTTCACAGTAAAGATAGCAATGCAAAGTATGAAGGTCTAATAAAAGTGAAACGAGTTACAAAAGAAATAGATGAAGAAACTTCACCATTGGTTGACTGTTGGACCCCAACCCTTGAGTGCTTTTCAACCCAAGTGAGAATCAAATGAAATGATAGAAATGGAGACATTGTGATCGTCTCTTCTCTTGGCAATTTTTTGGGTCTGTTAATCAGCGAGGTTTATTTGTGTACCTACTGGTAAACGACTTCGTCGTGGAAAAAGTACCAAAAAAAAAGAAAGAAAGAAAGAAAATAAAAAGATAAGGAAGGTGAACTTTAGGACTTTGTTATAAGAAGGAACGCATAAAGAGTAAGAAAGAATAATGACGCAGCTGGAGCTTTATTACCAAAAAAATACTTTTTTATTTATTCATCATAAATATAATCATATTGTACAAAACGACTGGTTAGTTAAATATGAAAAGATTTTGATCATAAATAAAACCACCCTTAAGCAAACTTGTATCCAGACCCAAATACAACGATACTTACAAAAAGACAACGAACAAATCACACCCATCGCTACCCCCCATCCCTCAAAAAAAAATTAATAAATAAAAAGATGAAAAACATTTTTGAAACAAACGTCAGAAATAGAGACCAAATTTCCGTTTGGTTCAGTGGGCTAACAAGATATTTTGGGGTTCGGCAAAATCAAGATTGGAGTTATACAATCTTGTAAATAACAGTGTAAATAAAAGCCAAATGCAACCGCCAATGATGAGCCAGGCGTTAGGTGAGAACTGAGTGACCGTCCAAATAACTGACAAACCCGCAACAATTCCCCTGTAACATAAATATTTGATGGCCCGCCAACAAATACAACTTTGGAGAAAAGAAAAACTTAATCTGAAGCACTGGAATCATGATGATTGAACATCTTAAGAGCTGCATTTCTGTTGAGCTGAATTTTCGCCGACGGTAAAGAGGCAAAGTGCGCAATTTCTGTTAATATACATTCAATGCATAGATTATTCTGCTTGCGATGTTCAATACAAAACACACATTTTGTTCCTCCAACACACTCCGTTATTTCTTGACTTTTGTTGCCGACGGAGAAGCATTTCGCTTAGACATTCGCGAGGCCGAAGCAGACTGTGGTTTACGCACTTTCTCTCCCCTCCCCCGTGAAGGCGTCTTCCTCTGAGAGCCCGACGGGGTGGTAGAGGGAGGAGGTACATCAGGGTCCGTGGTGGGGGTGGGGCTTTCTGCTCGCCGGTTGGAAGCTGTCTTAACCCCACCACCTGTCAGTCGGACACATTCCTCCCTGTGCCTTGCATTCCACGCCTTCAGTTTACACGACTTACTGCAATAGAAGACCTCTTTACATCTTGTACAGGCCGACAAGCGAATTGCTATTGAACGTCCACACTCATAACAATATCGAAAGCGGTTTTTCATCACTTGCTTTCGTTGTTTCAAAGCTTGAGTCGCCAGTGCGGATATGCTCATGTGGTCCGCGGCCTTAGTCACTGCAATTCGCAGACCGCAGTATTCGTCTCGACCTGGAGACTGGGGTTTACCGGGCGGCTCAGGAGCTCTGGACCCTAAAGAACATGGAGTGCTTTCCTTGCTACCATCAGGAGCTGGTGACAATTCTGACTTTCTGTCATCTTTCTGTTGCTAAAAACAAAGAGGAATGATATATTAATGATCACGATCTATCCAAGTAACTATACAATCACCCAACTATCTTTCTCTCGCTAGAATGAAAGAAAGATGAAGATCGCGGTCGAACCAAGAAAAAATACAATTGCCTAAACATGGAGGAGAAAATGGCTCTTCAACGACCCTACCTCATTATCCATTCCAGGACTTTCGCCATCGATTCCAGTGATAGCCTCGACTTCACGATCTGCTTGAGCCTCGATTTCGCGGACCTCCCCTTCGTCTTCACCAAAGATCTTGTTTTCAAGTCGGAAACTCACTCTGCTACATCTCAAGGTATCTCTTTTCTCAGCAAGGGAGGTGTCATGCTCTTTCAGCTTGTTCAGTCTGTCAGATGACTTCAGGATACCCCAGGTGGACTGAGGACTTGTATCTACATTCTGTGTTCCTACGGCGAGAAGAAAAAATACAACACAAATTCGTGTTTATTAAGACGCATCCAAAAAGGATAATCAATCAGGTGAATCTGAAAAAATTAAATCTCTTATTCTGCTTATATCACGGTAACAGCATAAAATGAGGAAAAATCACAAGCAAAATATCATGGGCGAACCAAAGCTTCTCTAGGTCGACAAACGCAGTATGAAACGACGTATTACGACAAGGGATTACATGCAAGGGTCGGGGAGGAGGTCTACACTGTCCCACATTTAACCCGGTTATGGTAGCCTTAAATGTTTCCCGTGATTTAGACACCAAAAGACGTTAGGTACCATGAAGTTTTCAATGGAATATATTCACAACTCACCTTCTGCTTGTCTTTCCGCTTCCATCAGCTGTTTCTCTATCAATTCCTTTTCTTTCTTCAACACTTGAGTCCTTAGCAGATCTCCCAGATGATCCAACATTTCCCGTCGCGCATTGTAACACTCGCGTTCTGTTGCCGTGAGAGCATGGTATGGAGTATGAGCAATCTTGCGGTCCTAAAAATCAACAAAAAGGGAGGCAGTTAACGTGGCAGAAACCCCAAGAGGGGACAGGTATTTTCAGGGGCGTAGCTAGGGGGGAGGGGGAGGGAGAGGGGCTGGGGTGCACGTGCGCTTTCCTCTTTGGAAGTTTATGTAAATGTGAGATTAGTATTACATCACAGTTTAACCCGTTGTAGCTGTAAGATGATATGGTTTGAAACGGAACTACACAGACAGTGTAGAAAATTGGTCTTTTTCTCTAAATTGTACGGAAAAAGTTCTCAGCCCAGTTGTTCAAAGGATGGATAACTCTATTCGATGGACAAATCACTATCAAGGAAGATAACTGTTAACAAAACGTGCTGCGCTATCCACCGGATAGAGATTTATCCAGCAGATAGTGTTATCCACCCATCAAACAACCGGAGCCAACTGTTAAGCAAAAAAGCGGACTTCAGAATTGCGACCAAAATTTTGTAGGATGCCCCAGGCGATCCATATTACAGCTCTGTAGGATTGTAACTGCTTACCTGATAAAACACACTATAGGCATAATCAACAACGGTTCCTGGTGGATATTTCTGGTTCACGCTTATCGGGGACAAAATGTTTGCACCAGCTCTCATTATCTTGTTTATCTGATCATTAAAAAAACAACAACAACAGATTATCAAATTATATCCAATTTGAAAGATTACTTAGAGCGTTTCTATTGTTCTTAAGTACACGATGCTTGTCAGGTAAATTTACATTAACTTTCAACTAATGTTGACATCAAAATTAGCTTACTAGCTTTATTCTTCCTGCTGGAGTCCTTCTCCTTTCTGACATAAATGAAGTAGCTGCACATAGTGCTGAACCTACTCCTTTGGAAAGCCGCAGACTGGGGTTGGCTCCATGTTCCAGAAGTGTGTCTACTGCCTGTCAAAGGAACGAGGAGAATTTACAAACAGTTTCAAAATTTTCCTTTTGAAAGTGAGAGGTTTTAAAGCTGAAATATCATTCACCCTGCACTAGATTACCTCAGCATTTTGCTAATTGGGCAGATACATCAGTACTACTTCTTTTCCACATGGGTAGAAAGAAGCATTATGAGGGTTAAAGTGTGTTGCCCAAGCACAAACACAATGACCCATGGAAGTCTTACATGTGTACCCCTTGACATAAAGAGATTCCTAAATGATTATGGTTTACAAGGATATCATATCTTACCAAGTCATTACCACTACAGATTCCCAAGGAAAGGGCAGAATGTCCTTCACACAAGAGATCCGGATTGGCTCCATACTCTAACAAGAGCCTTACAACAGCACATGATACCTGAAAGCAACCATGAAAATCAAACCTACCCAAAAAGTTACTAAAAGTAATGTAACTACTGATAGCAAGTATGCTGTATGACACAGTTTTCCTTGCAATACAAAAAATGTTTGTCACCTCAGAACTCATTGCCTAACTTTTGAAATGCCGTCATGGTGGAGGTCTAATCCTTTCCTACACTGATTGCTTATCACTTACTCAGACCACAACCCAAGGGAGGGGATAAATACATCCCAACTCATGTTGCATCTACTCGTAATGCAGAGCTGTGAGACAAATTTTGAATTGTTTCTTCAGACTGTTGAATATTTAAATTAATTGAAATGGAATATAGATAACAAAGAAAATGCTTTTTGATGAACATAAGGGTATGAAAAAAATGTTGAGTCCCACAATGAATCCAACCTCAGTCACCTTTAGATTCTGTGCTCCTAATTATTATGCTAGAAAAATTAGGACAACCTCAAAGAAAAACACCACAGTGACAAGAATGAATCAAAAGAGAAAAAAGAATGGAGAAGATGAATATGGACTGTGCTTGTCTTATTTCAGGTGTGACTAAATGTAATACCTGGTCATTATCTTCTCTCGAACATGCTATATGTGCTGGTGTTCTTCCATTTTCTTCATAACCAAATGCACAGTCTCTTATGTTTGGGTCAGCACCTGCCCTCAGCAACAACTCCGTGATCTCCACTCCAGTTTGGTCAGGCAGAGCTACAGCAATATGCAAAGGAGCAATTCCTGATTGCTGGTTACAGTAGACAAAAACAAAGTCAAACAATAAATTAAGTAAGAAATACCACCCCTTTAGCAATTCCATTGTAGCTTTGATATATCATAACTTTACACAACGTCAATTCATAGAAACTGTTCAAAATTCTATTCTTGTAACATGCCAATCTTAATAGATGAAAATATGTTGTTGTACAACTAAAAACAAATGCCACTTACAAAGTAATAACAAAAAATGCTGATTCTCACCTCTTTTGATAATTTTGCAGAGGTGTCAGCTCCTTTCTGGAGTAAAATCTCAACAGCTGCAGTGTCTGCAGCTTTCACAGCAAAAAAGAGAACTGGCATTGGAAGAGATGATGCATTTGGATTTGCACCTCTCCAAAGCAACAAACGAACTGTTGCTTCAAGGTGAGGACGTCTGCAAGAGATGATAGCATCTGTTTATCACAAAACCTTTGTACAGATGGCAATAGAATATGTTTGTATACATATCCAGTTTTGTGGCTTTCTGATCATCACACTGGATTCTGGATGATAAGGTGCAGAGTTTGGGCCTTTGCTAAGGATACCAAGTGTAACCATCTTGGAAAAAACAGTTTACAGGGTTTAGCCCTTCTCTCAGTATGGGAGCTGCATAAAAAATTCCTTCACTCCTGTTCTCTTCAAGTTACATAAACTGGGATGTGACACCATGGTTTTGACCATTTCAGTTAGCTACAGTGTGATACAATTATTAAGAAGGAAATTAAAGTATCTAGTTTACCTTTGCATAGCCAATAAAATTTGTTTGTTCTGCTCCATGCTTTTTTCGCTTTGCAAATCATCCCCTGAGTCTGATGGCTGCCTTGTACTAGTCATAGCACTCATGATACTAAACAATGATGGATCCAGCACACTCAATTTACCAGTTTTGGGATCAGTCTCCTCATGTGTCAATGAAATGTCACTGACTGATGTCAAAATTCCAGAGTTAAGAATGTTATTCCCACCAGGCTGGATGATCAGTTTTCCTTCATTGTCAGAACTTTTCTTAAAACCAGATCTATTAAAATCTAATTTACTTTGTAGGCTATTGTTCAAGTTGTTTTCAAGCTCTGCACTATCACTATCTGCATCTGCAACTATTCTGTCATTGAATTCAATAACTTTGTATGGCATCTTTGAATTGTTTGTTTCATCTTGATTACAGTTTTCATTTTGAATATTTTCAACACATTCATCTTCAGAGTTTTCCTCAGTATCATCAGAATCGTTCAGGTTTTTTTCAAGTCTGCTATCCTCAAGCACAACATTCTGCCGATAATTCCGATGAATATAAATTCCTTTCTGTTTATCTTCCTGTATGCAATTAAACAAATTTTCGTCAGGAATGGTCTCAGCAATGTTATTCTTCCAGGTGTGTTTTGTATAGAAGAGAACATGACAGGCAGCAAGAACTGATAACCCCTCATCATTCAACTTATTGACATTGGCACCATTGTCCAGTAGGCAATTGATAACATCTCTGTGACAATTGACCTTGAAAAAAACAAAGGCTCTCATTACAGTTGTGGGTGGTAATTGAAAACAAAGCAATGAAGACACATTGGTCTCCACACAATTATATGTACAAGTTATATGGACCAGGAGAGTGACAGAAGTAAAGCCAACTCCATGGCAACACTGGTGAAGGGAGGCTCAACTTGACTCCTATATTTCCTTTTTTCCTTTTTTTTTGTTTTTGTTTTTTTGTTATACATCAAAAGAACTTGCATTACATTAGAATGTTAAGGAAAAGGAAAGAAAAAATTACATCAATGAGAAAATAAAATGGGTGGTGACAACACAAAATATGCACTGAAATTAGTAAAAAAAAATAAACTAAAAAGATGAAAAAAATAATGATAAAAAAATTTTACATTTTTTTGTAAGTATGACTCTAGCTATTGCATCGATGTACAAATCCCAACCCACCACCCCCAAATAAGAGGCAGCCTTGCACCAAAACCTGTACAACACAACTAACAACAACTTCATATGAAATACTCACGGCGGCAGCAAGTAAAGCAGTATAGCCAGTCTTATCAGCAACATCCACATTAACTTTTCCACTTTCAATCAAACTGCGAACCTTGAAGCAATCTCCAGCTGCTGATGATTTTAAAAGTTCCTCTGATGCACGTTCAACAGGGCCTTTAGAACCTTTGTTACCACGAACACCTTCCAAAATATCCAGGTATGAGAAAGAACTTGGAATTTGAGACAACACTTTACTTGATTCTGTGTCATTGGTACCTTCAAAGTCTTGCAATGAAGGGGTATTGTTTCTTACATTCTCCCTTGCAGTATTGGCTCGTATCACTCTGTTAGACAAATTTTGACCAGCATTCACATTGTAGTTAGAGTAGTGCTGAAAGAGGAAGGCACTGTCCATTACAGAGCACAGTTTGATTAACCGTTCCCCACACCAGAGTCCAACATCTTGTTCTTCGTTAGAGTATGTCAATATTCCTGGACCATCCCTCTCATCTCTGCGATATATTCCCTACAATTAAAAAAAAACAACAACAACAATTTCACTTGAAGTCATTTGAAGGACTCTGATTAATTAAGTTGGTTGAATCAATTAAAAAAAAACAACAACAATTTCTCTTGAAGTCATTTCAAGGACTCTGACTAATTGAGTTAGTTGAACACAATCACTTGTAGAGTGATGTTTTCACTTCAAATTATACAAACCTCAAATTTATTGCCACTTGGAAAGAAAAATGTACCAAAACCTTCTTTCTTGTCATTTTCAAAGTGACCTTCAAATTTTGTACCATCAGGCCAAGTATAAACTCCTTTTCCATGCCGTCTGTCTCTATAGAACTCTCCTTGATAGCTCTATATGAAAAAAATTGCACTGTCAATCAAAACCTTGCAAATAGCAGATGCAGGTAAAGATTCCATTCTCACTCAAGATGTGCATGCACCAGTATTTAAACAATAATTTGCAGTCTCTTAAGTTTCTTTGATTTCTTTTTTTCACCATCCCTTGCTTAATTGCGAAGTTGCTACCACTATCTTAGAACCATTTGAACTGAGAAATATGTAGAGGTCAACATGAAAGAGCAGCATAAACAATTGGAGCTCTGTCCATAAGTGAAAACATGGAACTTGCATTCACAACCGCCTGACACACTCTGTTCACATTAATTGCTCTCCTATGTGCACTCTTCTTTCTGATCTATTTTATCTAACTTAAGCCTATCCTTTCAGAATGCAATTAGAATAATTTTGAAAAACATAGAGCCACATTATGGTTCGCAGAAAGAAGCCACCTGGCAGAGCCGCCGGTATGTTTTTATTATAAACAGAGTCCCCTAGGGAATTCACACATCAGTTTCGTGGTGTTTACGCATTAAATTGGCACTATTGAGTCGATAATTTTCATACATAAATGAAAAATGAAAGGAAAATGAAAGTAAGAAAAGATATCAGCTGAGATATCTTTGCCGGGATCAATGGTGGCGTTTTCGAGTATACACTCAAAAAGTTAATCGGTCAAATTAACGCCATTCACTTTAGCACCCAAACCAAACTGGAGGCAGCTTTGGTGTGGAAATTTACGAGTCAATATCCTTGAAAATCTGGCTTTTCTGTTAATTATAAACTGCAGCTTAGTTCACATTTTCCTTGACATCTTTGCTAAGCGAAAGTAAAACATCTCGAAAATTTAAGTAAACATCGAGTAGAACTGTCCTAGGATTGAACGAAAAGCAAACAAGGACCTGTTAGCGGCCAAATTAAATATTCTACAATACATTTTGTTCCAGAATTACAGTTTTTATTCTAAGCTAAGCAAACTAAGTTAAACCCGTAAGACGCCTACTGTCTCAAACATAATCCCCGGTCTTGTCATGACAATTACGGAAAACTGAACCAAAATCGCGAAAGCAAGTCCTTCACTTAAACAAATTGACTCTATTTCAACGCACAAGTCTCACACCCTATGTATACAGTACCTTCTGACTCCGAGAACACATTTAAAACGAAATTTTGGAGGTGTATGATATAATTTGAAACCATTAAAAAAATCGTTTACTAAAATCGAAGACGGTTAAAAAACCGCTTTCTCATTTTACGGCCATTATCTCATCTCTTACTACAAGTACCTCTTTATCAGCCCAAGTCAGCGTTCCAGAACCATGTCGAAGATCACGTTCAAAAGCGCCTTCGTACGTCGAACCATCAGGCCAATATTGTTTCCCATAGCCATGTCTTGTGTTATCTACGTATTCTCCGTCATAGCAAGCTCCATTTGGCCACTTAAAGATCCCCTTACCGCTCTTCTTGCTTCCCTCGAGTTCGCCGTGATAAACAGCACCGCTCTTATATTCCCGTCGGTATTGGCTTGTGTTTAATCGCAACACACGATTCGTAGAGGAAAAGTTTGTCCCCCTTCGCATACCTCGTAACACACAAGCAGTATGCTCGTCTTATAAAAAACTGCGATGCTCGGTACCCTAACAGAGGATTCTAACGCCGATAGACGTAACAAATATTGACTGCTCATCTGCATTGAATGAAGGCGCTGAGAGCTAGCTGGACTGTCTTTGTTGTCAGTGTTGCTAGGTCACCAAATATGGATAAGTGCTGTTTGAAGCGAAACAAAAGAAGCCAGACGAGAAAAAAAAAACATCCTCTTCAACTTTAATTGACTTATACCCTTGACTTTATTTCACGATTCATTTTTTTTTTTCAAAAGTTGCATATTTTTGAAAGTTAAAGGAAATAATTTATGCAATAAAAATGGACTTACTTAATTTTTAAATAACTTGAAATTGAGGGAACTTTGGATTTGAAGAGAAAGCATGACTCATTGAATGTAAACGGGTACTCAAACCTTTATGAACATGCGTACTATCAAAAAATGTTTGAAAGTAATTAGAATCTAAAATTACTCAGGGAAAGACTAATGTCAAATTTCCCCTTCAATGTAACAACACTCTTATGCAGGAGCTCCATGAAAAATAAAAATTATCACACAGAGAATTTAACTTCAAATTGTGAAACCTTCTTCATTAGAAATATAAAACTGAAACTAACTCATTGATGGTAGAAGGGTTTTACTGTATGGCAGAGTCAAATTTTTTTTTATTTCACACTCCTATGAGCATTGCATATTTATTGTGGTTAATATCTTTTTATCATTCATCATTTAATGTTAACAAAGACTTCTTGTTATCTGTAATTTGATTTGATGCTTATCTTGTCCCTCCCACATGAGTAAAAAAGTACTATAAGTGGGGACGAGGAAGGGGGGGGAGGGGAGAGAGGGAGAGAGGAGAGAGATTTTATTGTAACATTCCATGTGGTAATTCCGATTGAACTTAGAAAATGTCTAGCTAAAAGTCTATGTAAAAAAAGTAAATCACAATTTATTCCCCAACAAGGCAGTTGGGATGAAAATTTATAACTATTTTTAGGAAGTCAAAGAAAATGAAAACCAGTTATAATCAATCCAGGTGCAAATGCACATTCCCAGCAGCCTGTCAATAAATAAGAGTCCCAAACCCCTTTGTTTTTATGCTTTGACCTGGGAATGGTTTGGCTGAAATTGTCCAATCAATTCAAGTCAATTGTCCTGACAACATCCAACCAGGTAATACTAATCTACAAAACCATGGCAAACTGTAAATACCAAAAAATATATATATTCCTTTGTCCAAGAGGTTTGATGCTTAAGTTATGTAATATATATGTGACGGGTTTAATAAAGAGAAAAATCATGGTCAAAAGCATGGAGCCAATACGAGCAACATAATTACGTAAGTATCCAAATAAACTGGTTGAAAAAAATGTTCCAAACTCAGAAAGGTCCTCACACTTTCTCCTTTGCAATTTTCCAGAGTATTACACCTCCTGAGAGCTCTACACTCTATTCAAGAAGGAGAGTTTTAACAGAGAATAGTAAAAAATTAAACAAATTCTATGATGATAAAACCAGGTCTGCAGAGTTCCATGTTGTAAGATGTCAGATATAGACAAGATGGGTCAGGATACCCTACAGATCCTTTTTTTTTAGAGGTCCCATCTATGATCAAAGTAATTAAAAAATTTGGTCATTCAGGTAGGTAATCAATGTCAATTACACTCAGAATATTTTCCACCATATTATTACCATTCTTAATCTCCTGATTAACCATAAAATTGGCAAAATGGCTCCTGAGGTGCTCCAGAGCTCTCTTGTTCAAATCATTATCATGTTTCTCCTTTTCAAACTCACTTCTCAACCTGTTGATTTCTTTCTGTAACTTTTTAATTTCAAGCAAATGCTGTTGTGTTATAAAATCCTCATAACTTTTAAAATTTTCCTCTTTTTCTTTTTCCATTTTATCAAGCTTAAATTGGAGATGTATCTTGTTGAGCTTCTCTTGATTCAATTCTGCTTGCGTTTGTTTGAGCAAATTCTCTGTTTCATCTCTTTCAATTTCTAATTGCTTACGTTCCTCCCGAGAAATTTTCAAGTTAGCGTGATATCTTCTCAAATCTTCTTTGAGTGCTCTGTAGTTAACTTTTAACCTCTCATATTTCTTTTTCAATACTCCTAAGTTGCATTTGACAGCTCTCTCTGATTCAGCGACGTCTTTAAACTTTCCCTTCCAAGAATGAATCTCCTCTTGTGCCGATTCTAACATGGCGGCGAGCTTGAGATTTTGCATTTTAGCTTTCTGTAGAAATCTACGCAAAGTTTGCAGCTCATTTTCATTCCAGATACACTCATCTTGGTCCTTACGCTTCGGTTTTCTCTGTCGTTTCTTCTGTTTTGAAACGATTTGTCGACCCTTTTCCAGTCGCTCCACAAGAACTTGGTCGTCTTCATCAGTAGATGTTTTCGCCCTTTGCTCCTCGAAATAAACTCTCCTATAAACGTCATCGAGATATTCAAGCTTTTCTGAACTTTTCTCGCCTTCTTCTGGGCTTTTCAGCAATTCATCTACGCTTCCAAACTGGAATTTTGGAGGAAAAACTTCTGCCACCCAGTGATCCGCCATGTTTAATACGATAACTGTCAGGCGTTCTCAGTTGAGACGAATTAGACTTGGACTCTAACGTTGAGAGTGGCGGGAAAATGCGCCGCGGGAAAGCTCAAGTTGTTTCTGCACCAAATTCATAAGAAATATTCCAAGAACACCTTACAGGTAAGCCTCGTTTTATATTTGAATTACAACGTGAAAAATGATGATAGGTCGATTGCAATAGATTTCGCGTAGTATTTAAAATTACTTCGAATTTTAATTTCGAAGGAAGTGCATCAACATCTGGCCGGATGCTGTAGTTACACTGACATAACCCTTGAAGTTTTCGGTTCAATAGTTTAATACCTATCCCTTTTGGCGGAATTGAGTACATGGCCTAGACAGGACCATACTGATATTCTGTAGTAACTCAAACTGTTTATTGGCTGATGTAATGGAAAAAATAAAATATTTACATCATCTGTTGACAATGTCAACTCGCCTCAACGGCATAATCGCGCACGAGCTCGCTGTAAAGCAAAGTTCAAAGTTGGCTTTCCCTAATCAGCAGTGTGCATGTAAAACTATGTCTTCCTGATAAATTTCCTACTTTCCCCTCTAAATTATACTTGTTACATCACTTGAAACTACGAAAAAAAAAATTGACTCTTAAAATCGATTCAGACGAACAAAGAAAAGACATATTCAGCAAATTTCTACATGTTGTGAAAGTCAGACTCACCTTAGATGAGCCTTTTTCTGTATATACAAATACCCCGTGGACTTGAATTGTGCGCACAATATGTACGCTCTTGTTTTGCAAGTGATAGCCTTATATTTACCCAAAAATTAATTTTCAAACCATTTTATATTTGTCTTAAGAAACTGTGCAACCTGACTAGAAGCTATTTATTACAGCATTTTGCACCAAAAGCGTGTTTTACTGCCTAAGCCAGTTCTTATATGGTCATTCAAATGATTATCTAGTCTTTTTTGGCATTGTGTTGTGTCTTTATGTGCCATCTAAGGTGTGATGATGTAATGAAAGCCTTTTCGCAGAATTGGCATTGGAAGGGTTTCTCCCCGGTGTGTGTTCGCTCGTGTGCTTGGAGGGTGCCATACTGGGTGAATCCCTTAGGGCAGTACCTGCATCTGTAAGGCCTCTCCCCGGTATGTTTGTACATGTGAGTCTGTAGGTTGCGGTACTGAGTGAAGGACTTGGGACACACTTTACACTTGTATGGTTTGTCATCGCTATGAATGAGGAGATGGCGTTGTAGATGACCGTAGCGAATGAATGAGGCCGAACAGATGTCGCACTTGAATGGCTTCTCTCCTTTAAAAATAAATGCAAAAATATGAGATGGTTTTCAGTAAACAGACGTGTTCTAAGATGGAATATCTACGTAACATCAACATCGGGTTTCGAAGTAAGAAAAGACTCATAGATTTTTCCTCTCTTCTCGATTTACATCAATTGTCTTATATTGCTAACTTCTTTTTCATGCTGCCCTTGAACTTTCCAGTATCCGCTTGTATTCCTTGGTGAGGATCCGACGTTCTTACATGATCTTTTGCTATGTTAGCTGTTAATGGACTTTTTCAAGCTGAGGATCTCTTAAAAATTACTTACCACTCTCCTTGCAGAATTGATTAGACGATGACTTCTCGCTATTTCAGAGAAAATATCTTATCGAGCAAACAGGTGGTGAGAATAGATGACCAGGAAATGTATAACTGAAGGACAAGAGAGTTGCTTATCAGACTTTGAAAGTCTAAGATACAATTTTGAGTCAGCCCTACCTTTGTGTATATACATGTGAGTATGCATCTCGTCCCTCCTTGTGAAAGCGCGCCCGCACTCCTCGCACTTGTAAGGTTTCTCCCCAGTATGTAGGCGCACGTGCATCTTCAGGGCACGTGACGTAGTAAATGCAAATGAGCAGACCTCACAGACATAAGGCCTCTCTCCTGTGTGCATGCGAATATGCGTTTTTAAGCCACTGAGTCGGGTGAAATCCTTGGCGCATAGACGGCACTTGTACTTTTCACCATCTTTAATGAAAAGATCTTTGACTTGTTCACGTGCCAGGAAAGTGAACATCGTTGAGAAGGGCAAAGTCCCTGGCGCTCTGGTAGTACCCCCCATATGCGAAAGCACGTGCTTTTGAAAGTTGCCAAACCACGTAAACTCGCGGTCACACTCCTCACATTTATATGGCTTATTGTTGTTATGAATGAGAAGATGGCGCTGGAGATCACTAGGGCGAGTGAAGGACATCACACAGTAGTTACACTGGAATGGCTTTTCCTTGTCCGACTTAGCTGCTTCTTCAGAGACAGGGGTTGAATCGCGCGAGGGAGATTGAAATGGTTGCCCCAGGAATGAAGCGATAGAGGTAGAATCTTCTGATGGTGGAAAAAGAATCGGAGTTCCCGGAAACCGGGACATTTGATTCTGAAATTCTTTTACAACGTTATGAACTGATTCCACGCTTGTTTCGTATTCGGACATATCCAGTGGTTCCCAACCGTCCCATCTTGGGGTATCCATGGCAGATGGCTGGATTGACTCATTTTCCTCAGGGCGGGGATTTTTTTCTTGTGTTTGATTAGTTTTAACTAACAGAAACAAGGAAAAGAACAAAATTGAACTTTAAGGTGATGCAAACAGAGACTCGCGTCGGGGGGCTGTAAGGGAGTTTCAATGTTATTTACTCATATCTATAAACACTGTCAAAACCTCCATGCATTTCAGACCACACAAGTATTTTCTATTGTGCAGTTTGATTTAATTGAAATTCAAATTATTTTTTAAGCTTTGTTAACTTCAATGTGGTTTAATCCTCTTCGCGTATGTTAAATCGTAAAATTTAGTTTACATTTATTTTTGTCTTTCCTTACCTAAAACTTTCAAGAACAGATATCGAGGTAAAAGAACTAAGGAATGATAAAACGTTTTTTAGTTTGATGAAGAGCCCAGATAAAGTCTTCGAGGTCATTCTTTTGGTATTGTATTATGGGACACTTGGATGCTATGCTGTCGATATAGCATTGGCAACACGACTACTCCGAAGTTTGAAAATAATCATTTGTAAATGATATGAAATAGAGACTGGAAGTCCCAATAATTCTGTCAAAAAATTTTGAAATTAGATATTTTTGTTATTTAAAATAACTGCAAAGTCTTACTTTTATAATTAAAATCAGACGATTATAACTATTCAGAAAAGTCCAAGCAATACACGAACTAAGGTCTCCTACAAATTACCGAGCAAAGCGATCTGTTTACGTTTTTTTCTCATTAAAGAGTACTTAAATAAAGGACTCTTAACATTTTCTGATGAGCTGAAAGGGTTGCACTGCATGCTATTTAAAATGGAAAATAAAATTAAAGGAAACAACTTAAAGACAAAGATTTGAACGGCAGCCTAACAGATTGAATGTACTGGTATGTCAACTGGAAAGCGGTCGAATTGTTAAAAAATTAGGAAAAATCAGTTTTTCATTATCTTTAAAAATGGCCACCTTCGGGTTACAGAACAATCGCATAAGCCCGATAGCAGCTGGCAAAAATTCATTTCTACCGCTTCGCCAGCGATGCTATGACTTGTTTCTTATCAATTTTCCTCCCCGGCTCCACTTTTTGGAGCCCTCCACTGACATAAGCGTTCAAAAAGGTACCAGCGAAATGTCGGGCGTAACCTGACAAAACACTTAAGGCCACACAATAAAAAAATTCACGACACGGAACGTAATAGCGTCAAGTTATACCTGCCTTGCTTAAAAAAGAGGAAACATTTAAAATTAAGTAAATATTAGAGACAGTAAAACAGCGAAATAGCTCTCACGGGCATAATATTTACATGCGACAAGTTTCAAGAAATATTGTTCGCTACTGACCGAAACAAGCAAATTGATGAGGTCTTTGTTTGTCTTGTTTTTTAAGATATTATCCATCAGTTGCATGGAGGGAGTTATGGTTTGATCTTTAAGATAAAGCAACTGGCTTCGAAGTAAATTGATGTCATGTTCCTTGTTTCATTTCAGACCATATTTCTTGTTTCATTCGAAACCAGCAGTGAATCAGCGCTTGTTTTACCGAGTCGAGTATCAGCAGATGCCAAAAGGAAATGAAATTTTTGCTCACATCTAACGACCCTCCGGCAACGATTTCAGCCCTTTGAATATTCCGATGATAGAAACAGATACTAACTCCCGATCGATATAGCATGGTTATTGTTTCACCCCATTCAAAAGTGTTCTTCAGCCGAATTTGTACATGTACGGTTGGGTTAAGTTTAGGATATCAAAATGGGCAACTTATATCTCAAACTTATAATCGAAAACGTTTCAAAAAACAGAAAATATTATCAAGGGTGATTTGAAATCTATTTATCTTCGTTCTTAAAAAGACCTAGAAATTAATAGCTTGTTAAATTTTTAGAGGTTATTGTATAATTCCTTTTGACCGGCTTACAACAGCGCTTTTATCTCATTACCTTCCAAAGACTTTTTTTTCTGTTGGATGTTTTTATTACCAAAACCTGTATATGAACAGAGCCAAGCGACCCAAATGTAGAGATTTCTTATTTCGAGCACGAAATGTGCGAAGATTGCGACGTTAGAACATAGGGAAAGAATAAGTTAAATGAATTCAATCAATGTACAAAAGCGTATTATATTAGTTATTGTTGAATAAATGAAGGAGTGTGTTATCCTTGGCTCTTTTTTGGCATAGAATAAGAGGAGTTTTTTTTTCCGAATCAAAAATTTTTGTACTTAATAAAACCGTTGCCACCTAACGTCCGAGCATAACAAAAACAAATTCGAGCACAATGCACATCGCACGATTTCTTTCCTACTGAATGATACTTAAAATGAAATCAATTATATTTAAAGGAAGCCAATTGTATATTCAGGAAGAAATTAAATGGACTAATTCTTTGGAGCCCATCGCGTTGCTTTGACCACACCGTACTGAGTTTCATATTATTTTAGGTGACGCACTTAAATGAAAAGTCGAAAAACAGCCGGAAAATGTGTAGGCGTTAACTTTGTATCATAAATCTGGCTATAAGCTAATGTAGAGAGCAGAACCCGCAACTTCCAGCCATTTTTTTTCTAAGTAATAGTTCCAAACACACAATTCAAGTAGTTAACCACTTAACTGTGGCTTGTATAAATTTCCTGTAGGCTTTGCACAAGGTTCGTCAAAACTGTTTTACATGTCAATATCAGATTCAGGGCAGTTTTACAAGCTGACAGAGAGTTCATTTTTCACACAAAGCTTAATGTGAGGACCACACTTTGTACAAAGCACTCCGATGAAGGGCATACTTCCAAATTGATGGCATTTAAAATAAAGGTTCAAATAATAAAATTTGTATCTCTAAGTGATTTCCGTGCGCCGCCTTTAAAAAGTGACTGTATGCATCGCTGCCCTACTACAATGCACGTCTTGTCCCCTAAGAATTTGATGCATTCTGTTTGTTTAGCGGTTCACCCATCTAAAAGTTTGGAATTGGGGTTGACAACTTGTGGAAATTTCCTGTGAGTTGTTCGTTGATTCTCTGCCATCTGAAAAGCACATGGAATAGCGGGTGGGAAAGCCCTTTCGCTGGGTTAATTTAACTTTGGCTTTATCTAGATAAGATTTAACCTGTGATATGCCAAACAGCTAAATAGAAAGAACATGAATATTTAAAAAGGGCCTTTTCTCGGATCGACCACTTTTAAACACCTGTGTTAAAGAGAGAAGCAAAAGGTGATTCTCTCAGCAGGAGACTAAACATTTAACGAAGGACGGCAGTTTAACTGTTCCAATCTTTGGTGTTCCATTCAATTCCAGTCCATGTATTTACGTTCTGACGAACTCTGCTACTCTCGTTTACATTTACCCCAAAATTACGTTTAATAAAAACATAATATAGATTTATAAACTTCTCTTTGTATACATAGTGGATTTTAATATCTATTTTGCGGTCAGTCCTCGTTACGGATATCTCCTAATCTGACGGATTTAAAATTGTCTATCATTAGCAATTTTATTGCGATTTTCACATTTTGAGTCCCTTTTTGCATCTCGCAGAGCTGTCGCATTGACTGTTAACCGTTCAAACTCGATACGATTCATTGATCGGGAATATTGTTCTATCAGACATTGAGTGCAAAACATTCAATTTCAATACAAGAGCACTCTTAAAGAAAAAAATTCTTTGAGAGTCTTGATTGTGGGATTTTAAACTATAGACGACGATAGTGTTATCCGACTTGAAACAATTTTTTCTTTAAGTGAATTGATTATTTACTTTTGAAGATGTAGTGGTTTGTTGACTTTTCGTTGCAGGTTGAGTGAACTTTCTTCATGGTAAACTCGGCGGGGATTTTCAATGATTTCACCGATTTACTCCACTGTGATATGTAAAAACGTGTAGTTAATTTTCTCACCGGTGAATTTTTGGCTATTTTACTCCTAAGCCAAGGCACGAGCCTTTTTTAAAGCCATTCTTTTAACAGAAGAAATTCGTTTACGGAAAATTAGCCGGATTGGGGCGGGCATATTTGACATCTACTTGTTACATCTACAAGCCACAATATTTTGTAAAAGTCGTGATTTCAGCTACTTTCAACAAGATTTAAAAAGGCATTTTACCTTCTGCTCCCCTGCTGAGATGGGACGTTATTCCAGTTGATTTCTTGACCAAGAATGACTTGGGCATCTTGAATGGTAATAAAACAATGTTCTTGACGCTAGAGTAAATATTGGCGTTAGGGAACCAAAGCGAGCATCAAAACCTAGATTGACACTGAAATGGTTTTCTCAAGGAGCAATGTAATGTGCAACGCACCTGCCAAAAATTGACCAATCACATGGCTTCACGTTTTGCAGCGCGCATGCGCGAGCTATGCGCTTCACAATGGAGGAAGCGCACTTGTAAAGAGCGATATTGTTTAACGCTGTAACCCGTTAATTATTCCACATTGTTCGTTAGTTTTCTGGCCTAATTGGAGAGTTGTTCGTGTTTATGGCAAGAAATAATTGTACGGTTTGTGCGAGGAGAGTGAAAATTTCTTAACAGCTGTCGCTAGCTTTATTTGTACGGATATGTTACTCTAGGCTATAAAAAGCTCTTTGAAAGCAGGAAACTTACTTTCAAGGAAGTTTACCGTTTTATTTATTTTAGTCTTTGTAGCACTTCAGCACTTTCCTATTACTCAATCACAACAACGGCAAACCTTAAATGTAAACTTTTTTACTCCATTTAACAATAAAGTAAATTTTGCCATGATTCTTACCCACAAACAATCCATTATGAATGAGAGAGACATTTGTAGAGGATTACATTAAGGCTTCGCAATTAAGAGTTCTTCTAATGAATAATTCTGTTTGCTTCAAAGTGCTGCTAGCCGTAATTACCTGACTAAACGCTACCCACATCAGAGGAAAATAATAATTGCTTTTTATGTCCGCAGCCGAAAATACGCCCAGTAAATAACATTTTCACGCTTTCCTTTTCAAATTTCCTCCCTCAGGGAAAGGAAGCGGCCAGAAATCTCTTCAAAACACGACTGATTTTTGGAATATCCTTTGAACAACCGGTAGTCTAGTTATATCGACAA